CCAGGCTCATCTTTTCCCTCCATCCATTAAGTGTCATCCGCCATCTAAACCAGACACCTTGTATTGGGGAATCCTTTACTAGCTGCTTCTCTCTTCTGGTTCAAGGGTGTAGGGTTGGTTTACTGGTTCTACTGGGGTTGATTTGTTCTGTGTTGTCACATGCTGTGTACTGTTCAAATTATTTAATAGATTGATTAAATGTATATTCATCTTTTCCCTCCATCCATTAAGTGTCATCCGCCATCTAAACCAGACACCTTGTATTGGGGAATCCTTTACTAGCTGCTTCTCTCTTCTGGTTCAAGGGTGTAGGGTTGGTTTACTGGTTCTACTGGGGTTGATTTGTTCTGTGTTGTCACATGCTGTGTACTGTTCAAATTATTTAATAGATTGATTAAATGTATATTTGAGTTGCATTGTTATTTCTACCAAATTAATCCACTGGTGATAGATACAGTTGTCAGGGGACCTGTGCTTCTGGTGTCAGGAACAAAATTAACATCAAGACCAGATCCTAATCCAAATTCCATTATTTTCATTGTCATTACTGAGTTCCTGGGTAACACCAGGAGTGTCAAGATCTCCTGAGCAGCCTAGAGAACATCCCGCATCAACAGCACCTGAAGCTGAGAGGCTTGCTCCTGTGTCAGGGCTTCCAGGCAGGGAACAGGGTGGCCTGCATTGCTCAACACAAGTTAACAAATGATTACCTGATGTAGATGAGCTACCCATGTGGGTCTTCACTTGCCCCCAGTCCTGTCCTTCCCCTTTTAGGAATAGACTGTCCCCTGCTGGCCTCATTCATCTTCTTGGCCAGGGCTGTGGAAAGGTATTGCTGCCGGCTTACTAATGGTGCCAGAGAGAAACTGTGCACCCATCCCACTGTGCTGGGTAGAGTTGGACCTCTGCTTTGGGTCACAGTGAGCACCATCTCCATCAGAAGCACTTTTAAGTCAGATATCACACTCCTTCTTAGTCCTAGGATTGAAGAGCTTGTAGATGTGACACTTGTTGCTCATCTGCCCTTCGCCAGGGTATCTGAGACAACTAATATGTGGATTAATTGGACTCATTTGCATAAGTCATTTACAGCGATTGCAGGGCTTGGGGACTGGCCCTGTCTCCCCACTAAGTCCCATCTGGGACTAACAAAACTCTAGTTACTACCAATGGTAGCTAGCTCAATTATGTACGTTAACTTTACAGGAACACTAGTTCATATGCATGGACTCTAATTAACCTAGAAAGAACAGTGACTGTTCTGTGCACTGTCACTGGTGGCAAAAAGGAGTTGAGGGTTAGGGAGAGCCAGTCGCACCCCTTATACCTTGTCATGGGGGTGCCACTCCAGAGGGGGTCAACATGCGGACAAAGGGGACACAGTGTAATTAGACTGCCAGAAAACCTTTGACAAGGTCCCTCACCAAAAACCCTTACGTAAGCTGTCATGGGATGAGCAGGAACGTCCTCTCATAGATTGATAAGTAGTTAAAAGACAGGAAACAAAGGGTAGGAATAAATGGTAAGTTTTCAGAATGGAGAGAGATAACTAGTGATGTCTCCCAATGGTCCATCCTGGGATGTAATTATAAATGATCTAGAGAAAGGGGTTAAACAGTGAGGTGGTAAAATGTGCAGATGATACTAAACTGCTCAAGATACTGTTTTCAGGTGAAGCAACAGGAAAAATCACACCTAGTATAACCCAAAACACTAATAAAATATATTTTATGTATTTCATATTTCCAAGATAAATCAAATTAGAAAAAAACATGGACCATTAGCCTCTTTATAGTCATTCCGTATTTTGCAGAGAGTTATGATTTCAAGAATGAAGGGTTTAAGATGAAAAAAACCCATACAATGGATACCTGTATCCATTACTGGAATGGCATCAAAATAATAGGAATGAATAGATGTAAGGAGGAATAACACTGCTAACGTCAAAAGCAAACCTTATAATATAATTCTTACCTGGGTATCCAAAGTAAAACACTTTCCCCCACTGAACTTATGATAGATGGGTAAGGAACAACAGGATAAGTGGCTTTTTTATGTATTAATTTTTTTCAGAACAGTACAACTGATATTTCTGAGAAGTGATACAGATTTCTTATGGGAAGTACAGTTTGTTTGCTTCACATAGTTTAGTTGAAAACAAGTGTCCTTAGCAAATACACCAACCTGGCAAGTGCCAGGTAACAAGGAAAGTTTTCTGTTCATTTATATTTTCTCTCTGGAGAAAAAGGCAGAACTTTATTTTCCTTTGTTACTCTGAGCAAAGAAAGACAGCTCTTAAAACTGGCTATCAAGATATAGAAAGAGATGTGTGCAGGAGGGAACCAACATAGTTGCACATAATGCACTTTTACATTCAGCAAAAGAATCTATGGGTACATCTAGACTACCTCCCTCTTTCGACAGAGGGATGTAAATTAGACACTTCAAAATTGCAAATGAAGCTAGGATTTGAATTTCCAGCGCTTCATTTGCATATTCACCTCATGGCACTCTTTTGAAAAAGTGCTATTTTGAAAGTGAAACTGCAGTCTAGACGCAGTTCTTTCAAAAATAGAAGCCTTTTGAGGCCTCATGAGGTTTACAGGATCTTTCAAAAAAGGCTATTTTCGAAAGAACCATGTCTAGACCGCGATTTCACTTTCAAAATAGCACTTTTTTGAAAGAGCACTATAACATGAATATGTAAATGGAGTGCCAGAAACTAAAATTCTGGCTTCATCTGCAATTTCGAAGCATCTAATTTACATTCCTCTGTCAAAAGTGGGAGGTAGTCTAGACACACCCATATGTGTGGTACAGCTTTCTATCTCTCTTATCTTAACTAGATAAAGAATTTTATACCTTCTGCCTTCTACAGCCATCCGATCAGTCTTACTTCTATGCAGCTGTGTGTTAATGAAAGTTAATGTATAAAATAATGTTAACTGCAGGACTTGCCTTTTGTTAAGTCATAATAAAAGAGCTATACAAACATCTGAGGAGGTCTTCAGGATACAGTGGCTTGCTTCAATTCACTGTATCAAAAGTCTTGGAAAGTTTGTTTTCCATAATATCATCACACCACATTGATTTAGTATCTATTTCCAGCTCTCCCTCCCTAAAAAGTTGCCTGTATAATAAGGTTTAATACAACAAACAAGTACATATAACTTTGGGTTTATTTACATACTGACAATGCATTCTCAGTGCGCCAAGGACGCAGATGTCAAAGTCCCTGCCCAGATTAGTTTACAGTATTAATCAAACTGCAGTAAAATGGCACACCATTACACAGTTTTATAAAAGAATGTTAGATGTATCAATGCATTTATTTTCAAATCACTAGATTTCAAAACCTGAATTATGGTAAAAATCTTAAACCATAACTACTAGCAGCAAACAAGTGTAAAATAAGTATTATAAAATGTATTGCAAGTGAAAAATAAATACCTATTGGTCACAGTTCATGAACTTGAATGTAAGAGACATAACACAGCCTTCTCCCAAAGTCCAACACAAATTTAACACAAGTCACGCATCCATTTTACCTACAGACATAGCTCTTAAAATACTTTCAGTTGTGCCTAAAAGAAAGATTTAGGGTTTAGGGCATTTTTTAAATAAAAATGGTTTTATATGCTGCTGCTGTTACAGAGCAATTTTAGAAAACTAAAACTAAAACTTTATTACATACTGAAAATTCACTACCTTATTTCTTTTACAAGACTGATATCATGGCACAAAAGGGAAAAGCAGCTATTTCAAACTGCAGAAACTCTCATGTATTTCTAGAACACTAGTACATAAACTGTGCATTTTTATTAGAAAAACTTTGACATTAAAAACTTGGTTTACAGTTAACCCCACTCTAAAAATACAAAAGTGCTGATCTTAAAATTGCCAGGATGTCTCATATACAGTATACATACCTTTTTGTACAATATGTTTCCATTACTTACTTGAGGTATCTTACTGATCTATTTTAATTAAACCGTATTAAATCTATTTTAATTCAAAAACCCTCTTAGGTACCATCAGTCAAATATTATGGCAGAATTGCCTTAATTCATCTTTTGAAAGATATAGTCTGTCAAAGAAAATACATTTGTGGTTTATGGCTCATTATTTTAATGCTCCAGAATCCCCAAAGTCTTTCAGTCAAGAAAAATGCACGTATTACGTTGCTGGTTCCAACTTCTTGATCTCTTCTGCTAACACATGCGCTGAATCTTGCTCTCTGCTTTTGCCCTGTTGTAAAGTGTACAACGATGGGCCCAGTCTGATGATTTTTCCACTGCCAAGGCACTCATCACCCTTGTAGAACACGGCAAACTAGCAAATAAACACAGCAAGTCTTCAGAGCATTGGAAAAGTGCATACTGAGAGACTGACAAATAAGGAGGGAGAGCTTCCTGAATACTGAAGGTAATATTTATTCCCTTGTTTTTGCTCTGACCACACTGCATAAAATGGGAGTATAAAGAGAACAAACAAAAAGATAGAACTGTGGGCTCATATGAGTATAAATATAAAAGTAACAAATTTTATTATGAAATTTTACAGTATTATATGAGAAATCAGTAATAAGAGTTATTTTAATTTTTATCCTTGGTGCTGGAATCTCTCTTTAGTTACTATGTAGTACTTTTTGGTTGAGAAGCTTTTAAAAAATGAGCTGACAGTCACATAAGTAGAGTATCATTTCTAGAGAAGACTCTTCAAAAGGCTGAGCTATACATTCTATAGTGTGGTACTGAAAGTTCTTCTGACTGATGCTCTTCAATTAATAAACCATAGGATATGTGTAAACATAAATTAAAAGAACCAATTCTGGCAACACTTACTTGTCCTAGTGTAAGAGCTCTTATTGGCTTGACTAGTGTCACCCACACTGTCCCATCTTGGTTCAGAGTTAACATGCATGGCACTAAAAGAGAAAGTTGTTAAACAACCAGCTAGCTTACCCTTATATTCACAAATTACATTTTTTTCACTGGCTTAAACAAATGTAATGAGTTAAGAGATCTCCAAAAATAATTCGTTTTTAATCTTAAAAAATGGAAAATTATAATTAGCATCAGGGCTCGACAAACTATGTAATCTACTCACCTGTGGCGAGTAGATTACAACCCGGAAGAGCTGGGTTCGGGCGATCTGCGCACGCGCAGAATGATCTGCGCATGCGCAGATCGCCGCACAGTGCTGCTGGCGAGCAGGGCTCGCCGTGGTTCAGCGACCCCTGATTAGCACAACCATTTTTATCTACTGTGAGAAGTTATATTAGATGACATTTCAATCACTCACATCACAATCTGAATAGATTTAAATATACAAAGTTTGATCACCTAGTGCCATCTGATGCTGAAACCTGAAAGAACACTCCATCATTTTGTCCCTAATTAGCTCTGCAGGAGGTTCTTCTGCAATCCAGTGCACACGGTTTGTTCGCAATAGGTCTCTGTATAGTGCAGGGTGATTTGTAGATGGTGCCTTAAAATACAAAAATGTTTTATGTGTGTTTATGACAGATATTACATAACTGTTGTGAATGAAAGCACAGATTTCAGAAAAGCATCAAGGCATATAAAAATAAAAGCTAATTCACTAGTAAAGCAAGTAGATGTTAGAGTCTAACCAGCTTCCTTACAATCTTATTAAAAAAATATCCCATTGTAAGTCTGAATTATTATTCAACATCATGCTCCCTTCATTCCCACAGTTATACTAGCCCATTTGTGCACTTCTCCCTCAATCGTCGCCTGGCCTTACTCCATGCTCACCCTTATGCAATACTGTTTTCATTATCTTGATCCAAGTCCACTATCTTTTCTTCATCTTTCTCAAGGCAGGTCTACACTGTGGGGAAAAGCTGCTTTAAGCTATGCAATTTGAATTATGTCTCTGAGGTACAGCCGTGTTAACTCTGTATCTGCAAAAATAACTAGGAGTCCTGTGGCAATTTAGAGACTAACAAATTTATGAGGGCATAAACTCATAAGCTCCCACTGAAGTTTATGCCCTAACAAATTTGTTAGTTTCTGAATTGCCACAGGACTCCTCATTTAAAGAGTTACTTAGTAGCATAACTCAATTCAACATAGCTCAGATCTTACTTACAGCAGTGTCCACATTATTTTTCCCCCGTTGGCGCCCCTAACTTATCTAATTCCAGTGGAGTACCAGATATCAAAGTGATTGAGTTGATTTTTCACTAGACCTGCTAAATCGATCCAAGATTACAATCACCACAGCGTTAATTTTGTCTGTACAGGTTGGACCTCTCTGGTCCGGTACCTTGCGGAGCTGACTCATCCTGAATGAGGGAATTTGCCGGATCAGAGGAGGTCCCCTGTTACTGGCTCCCCAGACCACCTTCCCTCCCTACTTCCGGCCCCCTTGCTGAGCTGCCACGCTGCTGCGTCCCTGGCAGCCTGGACTGCCCCAGCCCTTGCATCCCTGGCCCTGCTATCAGGGCTGCTGTGGCTGCTACATCTCCAGCCCTGACCCCGTTATCGGGGCTGCTGCGTCTTTGGCTACGACCCAGCTGCTGCAACTGCCACGTCCCCAGCCCTGCTACTGGGGCTGCTGCAGTCCCTACTGCACTACCGGGGCTCCGGCACCAGTCCCAGCCCCACGGGGCTCTGAGCCACCAGCTCTCTTCTCACTGAGGCTCCTAGCCAGGGAGCTGGTCCAGGAACAACCATGGTGCTACTGGACTGCGACTGTTGCTGGATGAGGGAGTGCCAGTTTTGGGAGGTAGCAGCAAAAAGCTTTCAGATTTACTTCATCCTTGATATCCATTAAAAAAAATCTATATTTTTAAAAGGAATTCAGAAATCAAGATGTGCACATACTTATAATGAGAAAATGTGATTTGTTATAGTGTATAACACTAACACTTTTCCTTAACGCGCACATTCCCCACTCTACTGATTTACCAACCTGTCACATCATAGCCAACAGGCTGTTAGCCTTCTTGAGGAATGGACCATGCCTTACTTACTATTTGTTCTAAAAAAAGGATTAATGCACTTTTGAGTACTGTCGTATAATAAGCTCTCAACTGTCACAACCATTGTTACCAATTTTAAAACACCAAAGATGTTTGGACTTGAAAACTATGCTATTCTATTGATTAAATAGAATTGGGTGATGAAAGACAAATGCCAATTCATGAGAGACACTACCTCTGGAAGAAATTTTTGAGACATAGGTAAAGCATAAAGAGTTAAAAATACATGCCACTAGAAGTGCTCTTAAGCTATTATTTTGTCATTCTGCCAGTGGCATGAAGGAGACTACCACAAAGCTGAGTATTCTGGCATCCAAGGTGCAACCAAGAGGAGGGTATCTCAGTCTCTGGGGCATAAAATAATTCTCATTTCTCTCCTCATCCCCTATTTGATTTATGTGCTTCCATGAGAAAGCACATCTGCACTCCACAGCAAAAACAAAAACAAAAAATAGAATCATTAGCCAATCAGAGAACCAAACATTGCAAAAATATTAGTGAAGTTAAGGTGCCTCAGAATGTTGGGGAATGCTAAATGCTGACATCAACATGGCAGAAATTATTTACAGAGCTATTTCTTGTCTGTTTCTGCAGAGAAGTGAAATTGTACTAGTGTTCAGTACTTCATTTTCTGGCAACTTGCTAAGCCAATATAGTAAATTAAAGGTTTTAGATAAAATATTATATATTGTGCCACAATGGCTATATGAAAAACCACCTGTGTTTTGAGAGTAATACATTGGAAGCTAATTGCCAATAGTTTAGGACACATTCATGTTAAAAACTCGAATAATTTTCTACTGATCAGAAGTCAGATTTCTGGACAATGTCTGAAACCTGTTAACACTATACCAGTTGGCAGCTTTTGTTTCTCTGTTAAATGGAAAAAATCAAGGCTTCTTCATAAATTGGAATCACATTCTTTTCAGGAGGAATCAAGAAATACCTGCATTAATTATATACACTATCAATGAAAATAAACTCACCACAAAGATATTTCCCGATGTGACATCTTTCTCAACAACAAACCAAGCTTCGCTGAGGCCACTTAGCTTAGCCCTCTGGCCTATTGTATACAGGAAACAACCTATTGAAATATGAAAATTTTACACTGTCAAAACCCCTTAACTCATAGGTTAGTTTCAGAAATCATAATATTTCAAATGCAGAAATCTCTCTCTTTAAAAGTGTAAGTACTGAGCAAAAAAAAAATTGTATTTTCTTACATCTTGAAAAATGAAAGAGACCCCAAAAACCTGAATAAGCTTTTATCTTAAAAGTCTGTACCTACTGTTGCTACAAATACCTCAAAAGATTACTATAACTGAAATAGATTATAGAAAATCATCAATATTTTAGCTTGTTTAGCTTGCCAGTTTCACTGCCTACTACATTTACTAATATGACAGAAGATTTTCTTGCACTGGATTGGGGGATGTTAGTTGAAGGCTCTTCTGAGGCCTGGAAGTGTTTTTTAGTAACAGAATCTGAAACTGAACAGGCAACAGGAAGATGTGCACAGAGAAGAAGGGAAAGGAGAGATGAAACTTGGCTTATTTGGTGCTTGGGTTCTGTAACTACCCTATTGTGCATCACAACCTGTATTAATGTATTTGTAAAGGAATTTAAAATTTCTGGAATTGAAACTCAGTCATATAAAAATAATCAAGTTGATAGTGATTCCTTCACATAAATTTAATGATGACCTAAAGGCCAAAAAGTAATTCTTACATATCAGTAGTGCCAAGCAATAATTATAGTTTTTCTTTTTATTGCAATGTAAAAATTATAGAAAAACTAAGGACAGACCAAAGCCACAGTTACTGGGTTAATGGATCTTCTATGACTCATTAGGCATACCAAAACAGAACAGAGTTTTGGAATTTTACAGAACTAGTTTTTTCAAATAAAATAGTACTGTTCTATACTACACAAATGATTTATTTAAAATAGATAGGAGAGGCAGATGCTTACCTTTGTGTGTGCCTATCACTTTGTTATCTTCAATGGAAACAAAGTTACCTGGACGAGGTTCTAAATACTATAAGAAAGAAAAATAGATGTGTAAAAGATCTTCCTATGGGCCACATTAAAAATTACTAGGAAAATCAGAAGTTTATAGATTCCCAGATCTAATGTTACCTACCTCAAGAATGAAGTTTTCAAAATTTCTTTCCCCAATGAAACAGATTCCCATACTCTTAAAAAAAGAATAAAATGAATGCACAGTATAAACTCTATGCAAAAGTAGTATGAACCTTTTGATAATCCTAATGTCAAAACATTCATTTTCAGTACAGCAAAGATTTACCCTTCCATGCACCTAAAATATAGTAGATGCTTCAAAAAATGAGTATAAAACCCTGCCTAGAAAGCATACAAACTAAATTTAATACAAGTGAAAACCATAAGCACAGGAAACAGGAAAAAGACATGGGTGACAACATCACACAGTTACTCAGTAAGATAAACACTTCTTGTGTTGCATGTATGTTTCAAAAAAAACATTTGTCCTTCACCTTACCATACACAAAGATAAGTAATTGAGGCCAAGATTCACAAAGGTACTTAAGTATCTAAATCTGAGGTTCAGGTGCTAAGTACCAGTTTTAGATTCCGCTCTGATCCACAAAACTGCTCAGCTGATGCCTAACCATGTCAGTAGGATAAGTCCTAGCAATGTTGCTGGCCAGGGTGGAATACGATTTTGGCACTTATTACAACAATGCCTAAGCACTCCTACAGATTTGAGCCATACCCTGAAAATCTTTTCATGTTAAAACAGCTCTTTTTTCTTCTTGAAACTACATCACCTTAAAACCTATTCTATTGTCCTCAGACAACTGAACAGTAAAAAACTGATTGCTATGAAGATGAGTACAAAAGTACTAAAACCAAGGAGGAACATCCGGAATATAGTAACTTACATTTTTACTCCAAAAGATCACACCATAAAAGTATTAGTTTGTTAGCAAGGGAAACAGAACTAGCCTCGTTACAAAGTTTTCTTAGGGGGGAAAAAAAAACAGCAATCTGATACCACTGCATCCTGCAACACAACTACAGTAAATCAGAGATTCACAGAACCATGAAGAAATATAAATCACTTTCTATCTCTGAAACAAAATACAGGACTATGTAGCACTTTAAAGACTAACAAGTCTTTAAAGTGCTACATAGTCCTGTATTTTGTTTCAGCTACACCAGACTAACACAGCTACATTTCTATCACTATTGCTATCTCTGTGACTTGTGCTAGTTGGAAATAGGGATGTAAAATCCCAAATAACTAGTTAACCAGTTATGCATTATGTTTATCTGTTTAACCAATTAAAGGGGAAGGGCAGGCACGGTATGGGGGAGGCTACAGACAAGGGTGCTTCTGCCTGTGGTGAGCCCTGTGGGACTGAAGCAGACTCCTGCCTGTTCAACATTATGATGAGGAAACTACAGAACCCAAACCACCAAAAGGGAAAAACAATCTGCTGGTAGCATCTGATTTAGAGAATGAAAATGCACATGCATCAGTCTATAGTGTTTGGATTGTTATTGAGCAGAACCTGATGGACACATATCCCCTAGAATGGTGATTGAAGTATGAAAGGACATATGAATCTTTAGCACATCTGGCATATAAAAATCTTGCAATGCTGATTACAACAATGCCACAAGAATATCTATGCTCGCTCTCAGGTGGCACTGTTAACAATAAGTGGGTAACATTATCACCTGTAAATGTAAACAAACTTGTTTGTTTCAGCAATTGACTGAACAAGAAGTAGGACTGAGGAGACTTGCAGACTCTAAAATGTTAGACTGTTTTAGTTTTGAATGCAGGGTTTTTTAACATAATTCTACACTTGTAAGTTCAACTTCCACAACAGACAGATTGCACTACAATATTACGTGAATTAAAAAATACAATTTCTTTTGTTTTTTTCCCCCAGTGGAAAAAATTATAATAAAGAATATAAAATGAGCATTGTACACTTTTTATTTAAATCAAAATTTGAAAATGTAGAAAACATCCAAAATATTTAAATATGTGGAATGTTACTATTGTTTAACAGTGCAATTGTGACTTATTTTTAATCAATTGACAGCCCTAAAATATATATTCGGTCACTTATAAGTAATTTGACTTAAACTGATCCAGGTAATTAAAAAGATGTAAAATTTACCTAACTAGTTTCAATTTCTATAACAACATACAAATCAAAAACAAAGTTTAGAGATAAATATAAACCAAAAGTTTAATAAGTGTTACCATGCCTCTTTTCTCTTCAGCACATGATGAAAACCATGTTCTGCTGCTATCTTCTTTACAAAATCTTTTGTCAATCCTCCTAAAGGAAAAATGGTTCTCCTCAAAGCATCTTGTGAAATCTGACTGAGGAAGAAGGTTTGATCTTTCATGTAGTCCACTCCTTGAAGCAGTTTTACAGCTGCATGGTGTAGAACACACAAGATGTTTCAATGTTTCATAGCTTAACTCCTACTATTTGCACACACATTTAGTTAAAATTCTGGTTAATATAAGAACTTCTATTGTTAACATATCGTAGCACATTTCCTCATTGCACTCAACAGAAAACATCTGGGGCACTTTTTACAACCTAGACATTGCTCCATTACAGAGACATTAGATCAGGAACTTTTCCATCTCTTATTATAAAAAGAACTATATTGACAGTCAGGATTACTCTTTTTCTTGGAATTCAACAAATCCCATAACTTCTAATATCTGGAGAGAACAGGACCTGGATTAAACAGAATTACTTAAAGATTCTCAGCCAGAAAGTCAGATGATGTAAATCAATCCAAATGCATGGAAGGTAAGGGAGCCACACTGTTTTTCCACAAACTGAGGAGCTAGACTCCTGGGCTACGTCTACACTGGCCCCTCTTCTGGAAGGGGCATGTAAATTTCACGAGTCGTCGTAGGGAAATCCGCGGGGGATTTAAATATCCCCCGCGGCATTTAAATAAAAATGTCCGCCGCTTTTTTCCGGCTTTTAAAAAAGCCAGAAAAGAGCGTCTAGACTGGCCCCGATCCTCCGGAAAAAGTGCCCTTTTCCGGAAGGTCTTATTCCTACTTTGAAGAAGGAGGGTCTTATTCCTACTTTGAAGTAGGAATAAGACCCTCCGGAAAAGGGCACTTTTTCCGGAGGATCGGGGCCAGTCTAGACGCTCTTTTCTGGCTTTTTTAAAAGCCGGAAAAAAGCGGCGGACATTTTTATTTAAATGCCGCGGGGGATATTTAAATCCCCCGCGGATTTCCCTACGACGACTCGTGAAATTTACATGCCCCTTCCGGAAGAGGGGCCAGTGTAGACGTAGCCCTGTTCTTAAACAAAAAAGGATTTTGTTTTGATCTTATAAAAAAGCATTACAACAGGAGGTTAGATTCCTGAGGTTTTAACAATGTCAAAATGTCACTTGACATGGCACTTTGATATGTATTGATTATTGTAACCAACTGTCATGAGCTTGCTGGCCTTGTAAGGGAAGTCTGGGTCAGCCTTGTCAGCAATATACAGGCAGTCCCCGGGTTACATGGATCCGACTTACATCAGATCCCTACTTACAAACGGGGTGAGGCAACCCCGCACTAGCTGCTTCCCCCCAGCAGACCAGGGAGACGCAAAGCTAGCGCCCCTCCCCAGCAGACCAGGGAGACACGGAGCAGCTTTTCTCAGCAGACACCTCATCTTGAGAATAAAGGACTGAGGGAAGTGAGGTGTGGGAGAATAAAACTGAGCTCTGGAGAAATGTTTGGCTAGAGTTTCCCCTACAATATGTACCAGTTCCGACTTACATACAAATTCAACTTAAGAACAAACCTACAGTCCCTATCTTGTACGTAACCCGAGGACTGCCTGTAGTAGCTATCCCACTGCTGATCCTGACTTAATGGCTTGATTATCATCAGTGACCCAAGCTGTGAAAGGATTAGGAATGACTACATAGAGAAAAGACAACATCTTAAAAGAAAAAAAGGAGACCTAAGGGCCTGACAAAGACATGCTTTAAAAGGCTACAGGCATAGATTTAATCCTGTAAAGGGCCTTTGAAAAGGAACAACCACCAGGGAAGCAATCCTGGGGTCAGCATTCCCAAGGAGAAGCAAGGCAATGTCTCCACTTGCCACTCCAGATATCAATCTTCTGGCATTCAATTAGCGAGTCTAGTAAGGAACTGCTAAATTGAATGCTGAGGGTGCCCTTGGCTGCCAGTACTCCTCAATTCGTGAGGAGTAAGGGAAACTGATGGGAGTGTTTGCTCCCATTGACCTTCCACTGTACGCCATGCTCAGCATAAAGTATTTCAACTCCAACTATGTTATTCACATAGCTGGAGTTGGGTACCTAAAGCCAACCTTCCGGGTCTAGTATAGACCTGGCCTGAGACAACCTAAGAAGAAGCCTGAGATCTAGAAACCAGAGAAGATGCTGTAATAACAATAGCCTGCTGGGAAACAGCAAAAAATGGGCCTTGGAGGCAGGAAGTAACCCAGAGAAACAATAGCCTGTATAAAGGTAAGAACCTAGCTGCTTAATAAAGGTTCCTTGGGCTGGAACTCAAAACAAAAGGTTTGTCTGCATTCTTGCATAGAAGCACCAACCTAAGGACCATTAAGCCCAAGATGGGGTTGAGAACTGAACACAGATGGATTGAAGAACAGCCCAAGAAGGGCTGTTTGGGATGTCAGGATTTTTATTTGGATTTCTGTTATCCTGAAAGAATCAAGCTTAGATGCGATTTAGCTCGAGGGCTATGTTGTGGACAAAAACAGGTTATTATAGGGCAAAGAAGGCAACAGGGGATGTTGGAGGCAAAGACCCCTGCAACCCAATGACCTAATGTCAACAGGGTCAGGCTATACTGTGTAAGAAAATATTACACTTAAAGTCATTCATGTATATTGTTTATTTAATATTTATAAATATAACTGCCATTAAGGAAAGTTCTTAAGAAGATAAGTTCTTTGACCAACCTAAACTAAGAAGGTCATGTTGCTTTTAATAGGCCTGTGTAAGAGCCTGGGAAGAAGAAGGGAATTTTCCGAATGTTTTGTATGAATATTGTGCAGGCCTCAATTTCTAACCAGGTGATGGGAAAGAGAGTGTTTATTGTTTCAGAGGACCAGGCATGACCCTAACTAGCAGACAATGGACCCCAGACAATGGCTGGGACATTTTGTTAATTAGTGACTGGTGACCCAAAGGCTCTCCTAAACTTGGAAGCCATTTGGTTCTGGCCAGTGGGAGAACAAAGGGCGGAAGAGACAGAGCACAAGTGATCTTTTGCCCAATAAAGAAGACGAGAGAGAGAGGCAGGTCTTTTATATGAAGGTGATATAGTGAGGTTGCCTGGAAGGAAGGACACTTCTGGACTAGAGACAAAGGAATCTATATCCACTGGAACTTGGGAAGTCTCAAATGAACTATGCTGTAATATTCTATTGTAAAGGTCACTCAGGAATTTTCTATTCTGTGTTACAGATTTCCAATAAATCCTTTTATTTTACAATACTGGTTGAGAATCATTACAATCTAAAGAGCTCAAGGTTTTGCTGCATCCTCTTGATGTGCAAAAGTCTTCCCCCAAGGGTCCAGTTCAAGTGGACTCACTGAGAGGAGCTTAGAGTGTAATCAGGTATGGTGAAGGTTTAGAGCCATGGTGTCAACTAGCTAGCCGCATGTGACTATTTGGCCAGTTGAGTGTGGCTAGTTGGCTTGAACATTGTGGCTATTTGGCCAGGAGAGGGTGGCTAGTTTGCTACAGCAGTAGTGGCTACTTCTTCAGAACTGGTTGGACACCATGGGTTTAGAGGTATTATCCATGTGGTGATGGAGTCAAAGGGCTTAACTCCAGAGAGAGTAGCCATCCTTGAAGACGGCTGACACCTGAAAGGTGTTCCTCCCAGGCACCCTATGAAGCCAAGAGAGAGCACTTGGACCGTGAGTCCATGAATCTGTGACAAAGCCATATTAACCACTTACCATTTCTAACTTCAAATCGGTTTCTGAAAAGCCCTTGTGGTTTTTTAATGTGCTTCTGTTGGAAAACTTCTTCATCTTCAAGCGAAGTCCTTGCATAATGTCCAGTTGCAACGGCATCCGCACCTATACGAAGTGTAAAAAAATATATAAATATTGCTCTTGAACATCACAGTATTTAGAGTATTAAAAGTTACAGAAATATTTGGAAACACATACATTATAGAAACAAAAACTGAAGACAAATGATATCTAAGAAGCTTTACATGCCAGCTAGTGCTTTCCTAATCTTAATACAGCCTCAATATTTAATGGAAAATCACAGTTCCTGATGTATCACCCTTCCATTTTTTGTGCTTCAAGGAGCATCTTCAAATGCAAATGTTAAACTTCTTTTCACAAACAGTGATACAAAACTACAAAATTGTGTTTGTACATGAGATCAGACTCCTTGCCCAAGATTTTAAAGAGTTTGCTCGTCTTTAGCACTTTTGCAGTATAGGGTATATACAAACACATTTGAAGACAACTTACCAAGGTTATCCAGAGCATAATGGAGAAAATAATTGAATTTGATATGCTTGTTGCACATTATGTCAGGATTGGGAGTTCTTCCCAATTCATATTCATTTAAAAGGTAACTGTAAAACAAATGCATAATGACTATAAACAAGAAATTCTATTCAAATGTGAAGAAGTACTTATTAATCTTGAGAGCTTATGACCTATTAATAATACTAAACACATATTGTGAAAGCAAACATTGTAAGGGATTCATTGCTAGATTTTCTCTAAGTTTCAACATCTTTGTACTTTAAAAAAAGTTTCAGAGGGGTAGCTGTGTTAGTCTGTTTCAGCAAAATCAACGTGGAGTCCTGTGGCACCTTAGAAACTAACAAACTTATTTGCACCTCTGTGAGTAGCATAAGATGTGTCGATGGGAGAAACTTGCTGCACACACAAATACTCATGTCGGGGTTGGAGAATTTGCACACTTGAGAAATGTAAGTTTTTGTCAATTTAGGCTGTACAGTAGTGTAGACATTGGCTAAGAACCCTTCATGCCAGTCAGAGGGAATTAAAATAAAAGAGACTTTAACAGGTTCTTTAGGGAAACAGAAAAAGGGGAGTAAGAGTGGCTGCTGATCTCTCCAAGACTGGTTAGAGACTATAGAAAAGGCAAGACCAGCGTGATTCTCTTGTTTAAGACCACCTAGGAAGAGGAGGCCTGAAGTAGGGATGTTAAAACGCATTTATTTAGGTAAACACGCAACCTTTGAAAATTTGAGTGGTTACATATTTGCACGCAGGGGTAGACAGCTCCCCAGGAGCTGGTGTGTGCACAGAGCCAGCTTTTAAGAATGTTCCCTGCATGTACTGGCTCCCAGGAAGCCATCTGTCCCCTTGCGCTGCTGCCTTTGTATCCCTCTGATATAGACACAGCAGCACAGAGGGGCAGGCAGGAATTGGTGCACACTGGGAGCTGGCTTTTAAACCAGCTCTCTGTGCGTACCAGCTCCCAGAGTCACAGCCCTCCAGCACTACTGAGCAGCTTAAAAGCCAGCTTGCTGTGAACACTGGTTTCTGCCTCCCGCCCCTGTGCTTCTGCCTGTGATACAGGGGCTCATTAGTTAACTGTGTACAAGTTAATGCTTTCACATCCCTAGCCTGAAGAGGTAGGAATTATTGGAAGCAGTAAATGTACAGTCTGAAGATGCAGAAGAGAAAGTTCTAAGGAAGGGCAAGTTGCTTGCTCAAGTAAAAGACTGCATGTGAGCCGTCACTCAAGGGGGAAGATGCAGAAAAAACAGGAGAAGGAATTGGTTGAAGAAAATATGAATATAGGCTTAAGACCTTGAGTTGCATTCTGTCTTATTTAGAGAGCCCAAAGAGTACTTCCAAAGAGGGTAGGAGAATACCCCTCTTCACTTTCCTTTATCCCCAGGCAAAGGACTGTATTTATTTGCTGAGCAAAGTGAGATCCTATGCTTAACCTGATGGTATTTCTCTGCTGAGAATATTAGAGGAAGCAACAAAGTGGATCTGATGATGCATAGAAGTGAGGAGGGCAAAGCAAGGAGTCACAAGGAAAGGAGAGTATGCAATGGTGGTGAGGAAGGAAGCAAGGTCCCACAGTCAGGGGAGTTGGAGGTGGGAAGGGCTGTTATATTAATTTAGATGGAATAAATGGGCTAAAGGTGTTAACACAATCACTGTCCAACATTAAACTGCTAAACAAGGTCCAAGGCTTAATATACAGTGGTAATGGAACTGGATGACATACTGCACTTGAATTAACCTAATTCCAGAGAAATCTCATGAATCCGTTCAAAAAATAAATCTATTTAAGTATGCCAATTGACTCACACCCAGTCAGTACATATATCCTGATCCTAAACTTGTAAGCAAAGAATGAATAATAGTTTTAGCCATGCTAAAGTGTTTCTGTACTGGCTTATGACTTCACAGACACTAACTATCCATATTAAGTTGTCCTTGTCAGTTTTTTGCCATTCTCTACCTTCCCCTGTTCACATACTAACTCTTTATCAGAAACTTCACTTCTAAAAACAATGTCTCTAAAACAATCCTACCTGAAAACTTCACTCCAGTATTCCTTGACATAGGAAATCTGATGAAAAGGGATATCCAGTTTCTGACAAACTCTATAAGCATCTTCACAATCTTTGTCAGCAGAACAAACTCCTTGTTCATCCAGAGAGTCCCAGTTTTTCATAAATACCCCTGTCACTTGGTAGCCTAAGGGAGAAGAAAAGAAATTATTTATATACTGAAAATATTCTTAAGGATTAGACCCAAATTCTGGATCTTCCAAGCAGAGTTGTTGACTCGAGTTCCACGACTTGAACTAGAGTCCGACTTAAGTCACCTAGGTGACTCGACTTGAGACTCGACTCGGGTTCATTGTTTGTGACTTGAGACTCGATTTTAGACTTGCTAATTTTGTTAAATCTACTTGGTGAAAAAATTGTCCGAAAATGCCGATATTGATGGCTTGTACAAAAGTGATTTGACATTTTTAAAATTAAGACTTGAGACTTGACTTGGGACTTGACTCGAAAGTGACTTTAGGGACTCGAAACTGGACTTGAGACTTGAACTGTAGTGACTTGAGACTCGACTTGGACTTGACAATGACGACTTGAAGACAACACTTCTTCCAAGTGCCAACTGGGCAAGAGCATCTTGAGTATTCTTCTTATAGTTGTCAAGAAGTCATTCAATGAGTGCCTCACACTGTACTTCCTTGCTACATATAGTGCAACACTCAGATTTTAAGGCAGATTGATGTGTGCTTGGCGAAAAATCATGAGCCTCTTTCACTTCTTCCAAGTACCATTATTTCACTCCACATTCTGAGCACCTAACACTTCCATAGAACATACCAAAACCTCAAAGTAAACTTGGTTTACTAATATATGCACACTTTGAAAATAATTATTAAAAGCCAATTTCCTAATGATTTAATTTTTTTAATCCATTGCCAGCAGTTCAGAATATTCTCCATCCAGATCACTTTTCCCCCAAGCCACTTCACTGTCCAATACGAAGATTTTTAAAAAACTGGTTCTAGAACTCATAAGGTGACACTAACAGGTTGAATACTAGATCATTACATGTTTTAGCTTTTTTTCCAGACAGGAAAAAATTGTATGTATTGTAGTCGTCTCTAGGATCCCAAATGGAAACAGGAATCTATTGTGTAGTGAAGAAGAATACAGGCAGTCCCCGGGTTACGTACAAGATAGGGACTGTAGGTTTGTTCTTAAGTTGAATTTGTATGTAAGTCGGAACTGGTACATATTGTAGGGGAAACTCTAGCCAAACATTTCTCCAGAGCTCAGTTTTATTCTCCCACACCTCACTTCCCTCAGTCCTTTATTCTCAAGATGAGGTGTCTGCTGAGAAAAGCTGCTCCGTGTCTCTCTGGTCTGCTGGGGAGGGGCGCTAGCTTTGCGTCTCCCTGGTCTGCTGGGGGGAAGCAGCTAGTGCGGGGTTGCCTCACCCCGTTTGTAAGTAGAGATCTGATGTAAGTCGGATCCATGTAACCCGGGGACTGCCTGTAGTCAGATACATATATGATATTTGCTTCATAAATTTGGGGGGGGGAGTTAGTTCAGCTGGGACAGAAGCGAATAAAAAAATAGAGGGGCAAAGTGTGTGCATCTGCGGGGAGTTAAAGGATAGAAGAAATAGAAGAAAGACCTTTGCATGTACTCTGGAGAGAGCAAGTGAAGCAATGCTGAGGTGAAGAGATAGTGAAGGGAGGGAATTGGAGCAAACAGCCAATCAGCAGAAAGGAAGACTGTCCGGAGTAAAAAAATGTAAAAAAACCCAGCTACACAGCATGCATAAGGGTCCTGTTGCAGATGCATGCCTATGCTCCTGCCAGTTGAGGTTGGGATTGACCCATCTCAGCAGCTTTACCCCACTTCCCTAAGCTCACATGGGTCCTGACGCACCTCAGCAAAATGCTGCATTTGGCACTTGATGTTCCTAAGCCTAACAAAACATAAGGGTTTGCTTTTCTTATAGCTTTCCCAGCAGGCCTACCTACAATTTCTAATTTTTCAATCTTTAAATGATGTAAGACTTGCACTTGCCATTTAAGGGCCCCTAATGTGGCTGCAATGATAATGGAAAATATTCAACCTATCTTCTTTTCAACCACTCTTCAGGTTTGAAAATAAGGAGTTCCTTCTTAGCAAGTAGGAGGAATGTTAGAGTGTAATTGAATAGTCATGTAAACACACCAAATTTTAGCAGTTTCATGACTATTCGATGGTCCTCGGAGGCGGAGCCAGTAGAGCCCCCTGCCACCTTGGGGAGCTGCCTATCAGAGGCAGCAGCATGGGGTGGCAGGCAGGAGCTGGTTTAAAAACCAGTGTTCCGCACAGAGGCTGCTTCGCAGCAGCAACCCCTCCTACCCCCCGACGCTGCTGCCTCTAAAAGTGGAAGCGGCAGTGGGGAGAAGCATCTCCACAGAGCAGGTCTACCTCCCTACAGCACGGACTCCTGCCTGCCCCCACTGCCTCTGTCAGTCAAGGGAGGCAGCAAGGGAGAGGGCAGGCAGGTCCGCAGAGCTAGCACACATGGAA